TGCAGTTTTGAAATGTTTAATTTAATAATTTGTGCCTAATCACAAAAAAAATAACAGCTAGCAGCTAGGAAAATGTACCTAGTTTCCATTTAATAGGAAAGTATTCGTAATCCTTCTATTAGTGGATTTCTCTTTATAGTTCTAGTTAACATGAAGGTATTTATAACGTAACTAGCTACAGTTTAGAAATTTGTAGTCATTCTTCCTACTAGGATGACAGCATGAATAATCCTCCTTCATTTTAATTCTTAGAAAATCATCATTATTCCTTCTTCAACTTTGTGTTGCCGTCGCTGCCATAGATGGCGCTGAGAATGCGACGTAGGATGTAGTATAGTACGAAGAGAGCAAGGAGAAGGAGAAAGACGATGTCGAGCATAAGGAACTCGGCCCATGAGAGGTGAGCAGCAGGGGACCTGAGGTGGGGCGCCCCGCGGTGACGGATGACATACTCAGTCCAGAACACTGCAGCCTCCCTGGGTGGTGTCACCTGATCCTTCAGCAGCATCGACTTCCTCAACACGTTTTCCTTATACCTGATCACAAAAGAGATGAAAAGAAAATTAACGATTACTCTAACTGGTTCTGCGTAATATATGTACTCACCTAATTGTGGTTGCAGGGTTGGATTCATAGCTCCTGGCCCGGCCTCTTCATTGGTCGCTACTAGGTCACTCACTCCCTGCTCCGTGAGCTTTATCATAACTCTTCTCAAAGCTATGCCTGGATCCTGCCTCCACTACTTCCATTTTTGACAACTCTGGACTGAAAAATTACTTCTTAACATCCCTGTAACTCATCTAAGTTTTCAATTTCCAATTGTGACCCCTTGTTGCTGTGTCCCATCTCTGGAACATTCTGTCTCTGCCCATTGTCGATTCCTCTTAGTATTTTATATGTTGTTATCATGTTCTCCCTGTCCTTTCTGTCCTCAGTGTCGTCAGGTCAATTTCCTTTAACCTCTCCTTCGGGACTAGTCTCGTTGCAAACCTTTGTGCTTTCTCAAATTTCCTGACGTGCTTGCCCGAGTGTGGGTTCCAAACTGATGCAGCATACTCCAATACATGCTTGACGTACACGGTGTACAGAGTCCTGAACGACTCCTTACTGAGATATAGAAAGCTTTTCTTAGGGTTGCTAGTCACCCCTATGTTGCAGCAGTAATTTGGTTGATGTGAGCCTCAGGAGATATGCTCGGTATTATACTAACCCCAAGATCCTTTTCCTTGAGTGAGGTTTGTAGTCTTTGGCCTCCCTAGGCTGTATATTGTCTGCGGGCTTCTCTGCCCTTCCCTGATCTTTGTGACTTTGCACTTGGTGGGGTTGAACTCCAGGAGCAAGTTGCTAGACCAGGCCTGTAGCCTGTCCAGATACCATTGTAGTCCTCCTCCAATTGAATTCTTATTAACTTCACATCATCTGCAAACACAGACACTTCTGAGTCTATTCCTTCGTCATGTTACTCACATATACCAGAAACAGCACCAGCCCTAGAACTGACCCTTGTGGAACCCCGCTCATCACAGGCGCCCACTCCGGCACCTCGTTACATACCATGACTCACTGTTGCCTTCCTGTTAGGTGTTCTCTGGTCCATTGCAGTGCCTTCCCTGTTATACCTGCCTGTCATCCAGCTTTTGTACCAAGCTCTTTTGTGGAACTGTATCAAAAGCCTTTTTACAGTGCAATAAAATGCAATTTGCCGACCTCTTTTGTCTTACTGTTGTCACCTTGTCACAGAACTCCAGGAGGTTTGTGACACAGGATTATCTGTCACTGAATCCGTGCTGGTTGTCGCTGATAAGCTCATTCCTTTCTAGGTGCTCCACCTCTCTTTCCCTGATAATCTTCTCCATGAGTTTACTACTATTCATGTCAGTGACACTGATCTGTAGTTTAATGCTACATGTCTGTCTCCTTAAAACTTGGGACAACATTTGCTGTCTTCCATATCTCAGGTAGTCGCCCAGTTTCGATAGACGTGTTGAAGACTGCTATTAGTGGTACACAAAGCACCTCTGCTCCCTCTCTCAGGACCCACTGAAAGATACTCTCTGGCCCCATCGCTTTCAGGCATCTAGTTCACATAACTGCCTCTTCACCTCCTCTTTGGATATATGTATTTTGTCCAGCACTTTGCAGTGTACCCCACCACTGGAGTACTTTCTGTTTCCACTGAAAATACTGCTTTAAATCTCTTGTTAAGCTCCTCCCACACTTCTCGGTTGTTTCTTGTGATCTCTGCTCCTCAGCCTGATTATGTGGTTGTTTTCCTCCTGATGTGACTGTGCAACAGCTTCGGAACTGACTTGGATTTTGCTGCTATGTCACTTTTGTATTTACTTTTTTTATAATTTAGAGACCTAAAAATATATTTCACATTTTTGTAGGTTAATAGGAACGCAACCGATTTCTTCCATAAGTTCTTCAGTTTCTTTAACACAATTTTTGGCTTTCATTCAATCTTTAGGAATGTAACTACCATGCTAATCGACGGTGTACTGTATATTACCCAGAATCTTTTTACTCTCTTGTACTCTGCCATTACCTTCTCCAGTTTGCATGATCTTGCTGCTGCCCTCGAGAAGACACATTTTTTTTTTTTAGCAAATCTGTGATAATGTCTTCCTGGAGTTTATCTAATTTTAATTCTTCTTAATTGTTTTACATCATCTACAAATGAGTTGTTGCTTTGTGGGAAATCGTGCAAGAAGCTTCCTGACAAGAAGCTGAACCATTATTCTGTATGTTTCAAGAGCCGACATTCTTTTTAATATTATTGAAATTTCTGAAGAGTGATTATTTACAATCCTGCATCTTAAGGAATCTTTTTCGTCAGCAGTGAATCTTGCACTTACTTAACTAGATGTTCCTGAAGGGGAAACATTAAGCGTTTGTCTGATTCTTTTTATTTTTATCTTCCTCAAACTCTTCGTTAATATTTCACCCATAACTCGAGAAGCCCTCATCAGAGAGGTTTCAAATATCCACTGTTTGTTAATGGTAACTTGTGTCAAAGTCTTCAACACCTGGCATATTCAGGTGCCATTTACTCTCTCTACATAGTGTACATAATTATTCATATTGGGGTAAAAGAATACATGGATTCAGAAATATTTTAGCTGGTTTGCCTTTTCCCTGGGCTGCCTAGTTGAGAGTTCACTGATTTACTTACGATCAGGTGCATCTAACTATCACCTGTCATTGTAATATTTATATGAAAAAAATATTTTCTGTGAACCTTCTCCTGCACATCTCAATCTTTCCCACACACATTGGAACCTATATTATTAATGTTGCTTGGGTTATCTGTCCCAAAATTACTGAATTTTTCAGCATATAAGGCGTACAACAGAAGTATCATAAGGGTAAATCAGTAATCACATTTAAGGGTTAATTACCCTATTACTTTATGCTAAAGTGTAACCCCAAGCTTACCCATGACCTTGATCTTGATCACATAAGGCACAGCGTGATTTTTCCAAGACTTATTGTTCAAAAATACGAGCTCATTATATTCCGGAAAATATGGTACCTCTGGGTGCTCGTTAGCCTTTTAAGATACATATCTGTGTGTTTCTGTGTACTTAATAAAGCCAAGTTCTGGAAGAACCGCAAACATTGAATCATTCTCACACATGAGAGTTTAATTTCAAGATGTGCTCTTGTGAACCCATTTTCCTCTCAAACAGTCATTTCGGTCCACCTGAACAAGACCTCTGACAATGTTTATACATTGTCTCATGTCTCCCATGGGACTTCCATCCTTTAATGACGTCAGGATCAGTTCCTTTAGTCTATCCTCAACGACTATTTCTCTTATGCACGGGACTAGTGAAGACGCAAACATTAGCACTTTACTTTTAAACCTCAAAGGAGGTTCCTCTAATCCGGTAATGGGATTTTCATCCATTACGAGCGCATGTGTAATCTAAAGACCTTCACACGTGGTTGTAGCACAATAACCAAGGTACGAACCAGCAAACGCAAACAATGTATGTACAATATATTCTATTTTATTACCACATCGACCGTTTCCCACCAAGGCAGGGTGGTCGGAAAAAGAAAAATTTTCATCATCATTCACTCCATCACTGACTTGCCAGAGGCATGCTGACACTACAGTTATAAAACTGCAACATTAACACCCCTCCTTCAGAGTGCAGACACTGTACTTCCCATCTCCAGAACTCAAGTCCGGCCTGCCGGTTTCCCTGAACCCCTTCATAAATGTTACCTTGCTTACACTCCAACAGCACATCAAGTCCTAAAAATCATTTGTCTCCATTGCTCCTATCTAACAGGCTCAAGCGTGCTTGATGGAAGTCCAAGCCTCTCGCACACAAAACCTCCTTTACCCCCCCCCTCCAATCTTTCCTAGGTTGACTCCTACCCTGCCCTCCCTCAACTGCAGATTTATACACTTTCGAAGTCATTCTATCTCGTTCCAACCTCTCTACATGTCCGAACTGCCTCAATAACCCCTCCTCATCCCTCTGGATAATAGTTTTGATAATCCTACACCAACTTCTAATATCCAAACTACGGCTTCTCCATATTACATTCACACCACACATTACCCCCAGACTTGACATCTTCACCGCTTCCAGCCTTCTCCTTGTTGCAACATTCACTACCCATGCTTCACACCCAAAGAAGAGCGTTGGTATAACTATACTCTCATACATTCCCCTCTTTGCTTCCATGGATAAAGTTCTTTGTCTCTACAGACTCCTCAAGTGTATCACTCACTTTTTTCCCCTTGTCAATTCTAAGATTCACCTCATCTTTCATAGACTCATCTGCTGACATGTCCACACCCAAGTATCTGAATACATTCACCTCCTCCATACTCTCTCCCTCCAGTCTGATATAAAGTCTTTTGTTAACTAATTTTTTTATTATCCTCATCACCTTACTTTTTCCTATATTCACTTTTAATTTCCTTCTTTTACATACCCTACCAAACTCATCCACCAACCTCTGCAACTTCTCTTCAGTATTACCAAACAGCACAGTGTTATCAGCAAAGAGCAACTGTGGCAACTCACTTTGTGTTAGATTCTTTATCTTTTAATCCCACACCTCATGTGAACACCCGAGTATTCATTTCTCTTACAACTTCATCTATAAATTTATTGAACAACTATAGTGACATCACACATCCCTTTCTAAGGCCTACTTTTGAAGAATTGAGACACTTATGCAACATATGGGAATCTTTACTGAAGAAACGTTTCGCCACACAGTGGCTTCATCAGTCCAATACAAATCAGAAGGGTGTAAGGAGAGGAGGAGTTTGAGGTAAACAGTCCCGCAGCCTGGAGTCGATGTGTTCAGTCCATCAATCTTGTAGAAAGTACAGCATAGGGCCGTAGACGTGGCTTATATACTATACACAGGTGAGGCGAAGCAGAAGGAGGTGGGGTCATAGTGGTGCCATCCACAAGTCGAAGTAGGTCTTCGTCCAAAGGTTGGACAAGTGTTGAAGAAGTCTTTGTACAAAGATCCCGTAATGTTGCAGTGCCTGACGCTTGTCCAGCGTTTGGACGAAGACCTACTTCGACTAGTGGATGGTACCATTATGATCCTGCCTCCTCCTGCTTCGCCTCACCTGTGTGTAGTATATAAGCCACATCTACGGCACTATGCTGTACATTCTACAAGATTAATGGACTGAACACATCGACTCCAGGCTGAGGGACTGATTACCCCAAACTCCTCCTCTCCTTACACCCTTCAGATTTGTATTGGACTGTATGAAGCCACTGTGTGGTGAAACGTTTCTTCATTAAAGATTCCCATATCTTGCATAAGTGTCTCAATTCTTCAACTTGTCGATTTTCAAAACCATTCATCACAAGGCCTACTTTTGCTGGGAAATAATTTCCCTCTCGCTTACATACTCTAACCTGAGCCTCACTATCGTCATAAAGATTATTCACTGCTTTCAATAACCTATCTCCTATTCCACGCATTTGTAACATCTGCCACATTGTCTCCCTATCCACCCAGTCGTACGCCTTTACCAAATAGATAAATGCCACAAAAACCTCTTTACCCTCATCTACATACTGTTCACCTAAATGTTTCACTGCAAACACTTGGTATACCCACCGCCTACTCTTCCTAAAGCCTCCTTGTTCATCTGCTATCCTGCTGCCTGTCTTACTCTTAATACTTTCAATATTAAATCTACCTTACACTTTATCAGGTATACTCAACATATTTATTCCCCTATAATTTTTACTCTCTCCTTTGTCCCCGTTTCCTTTATACAAAGGAACTATGCAAGCTCTATGCCAATCCGTAAGCACCTTACCCTCGTCCATACATTTAGTAAATGAAGCAATAACGACTCCAAAACTATATCCCCACGTACTTTTAACATTTCTGTGTTAATCCCATCAATCCCAGCTGCTTAACTCCCTTCCATTCTACCGACTGCCTCATGCACTTCCCCCACACTCACAACTGGTTCTTCCCCACTCCTACAAGATGTTATTCCTCCTTGCCCTATAAACAAAATCACAGCTTCCATATCTTTAACATTTAACAGTTCCTCAAAATATTCCCTCCAACTTCCCGATACCTCTAAATCTCCATTTAATAACTCTCCTCTCCTATTTTTAACTATCGAATCCATTCGCTCCCTATGCTTTCTCAACTTATTAATCTCATTCCAAAACTTTTTTTTTATTTTCAACAAAATTTGTTGATAACATCTCACCCACTCTCTCATTTGCTCTCGTTTTACATTGCTTCACCACTCTCTTAACCTCTCTTTTTCTCTCCATACACTCCTCCCTCCTTGCATCACTTCTACTTTGTAAAAACCTCTCATATGCTAACTTTTTCTCTCTCTTACATCATCTTTACATCATTATTCCACCAATCGCTCTTCTTCCCACCCACACCCACTTTCCTGTAACCACAAACCTGTGCTGAACACTAACAGTACATTCGTAAACTTATCCTATACATCTTCGACCCCATTGCCTATACTCTCAATAGCCCATCTATCCTCCAATAGTTGTTTATATCTTACTTTACTGCCTCCTCCTGTAGTTTATAAACCTTCATCTCTCTCTAACTTGCTGTTTCCATTTTCATTGTATCCCATCTAACTTTTATTCCTATTGTAGCTACAACTTTAAAAAGTGATCTGATATATCCGTGGCCCCTCTGTAAACATGTACAATATATATACAGAGGATATGTACAATAAGGCGATGCAAGCAAGAGACACGGTGAGAACCGCTTCTCAACTTTGGCAGGTTTCATTGTGTTTGGCTTGTTGAATCATGGTGCTAGCATAACGAGGGAGCCTCTAGTCCTTGTACCCATAGCACCTGCTTCCTGGTCGGGAGGGCATGCCTATATGGGTGTGTGAAATACGCCGAATAAATTGTAACGTATTCTTAGTATGCCACATCATACGAGTAATTTGATTCATCCTCTCTTGTTTTTGCATCGATCCTAATTTCCCTCCAACTACCCAGGCATTGGTTTAGTGTTATTTGTTCACTTCTGGCAAGAGAGCTATTGAATGAAGGGTAATACATGTTCTTCCGTATTTCTCGGGACACCCTCCCTCTGTGGCAGACTGATGGTGTTTAAAAAAATAAGAGCTCATAACAACAATGATAAAAATAATAATGAAACTAATTCCGTTTCAAAATATACCTTATCTGATACAGGATCCTGACTGTATCAGAATATTTGATGAGGTTCTTGACAGCTATTTTTAGACAGTCAGACTTCCATTTTCTGCAGAGGTTATTTGGTTGACATGCGCCCAGGGCAATATGCTTGGTACTTGTCATTTAGATACCCTACATTTTTTTTTATTACTGAGGATTGTTGTCATTTAATCGGTTTCTTTTGGCAGGTGAATTCATACAACATTAGTCAGACTAATACTGCTGTTCATTTAGGATGAACTGTAGCCTTTTTTCTCCTCTCCGTTTTTTCCTCGTCATTACTGATGCATCGTCTCTTTACACTGATATCAATAGGACTGACACTGTATCTTCCAACATGTTCACATTTTTGAGAAATGATACTGGTTCGAATCACACTTGTCAGTTCTGATACCTTTCCGTTTCATCTTATTTCGTCATCTTTGAGCCAGAGTAGTACCTCTCAGATATACCAAGTCGTTCGTGAGTTATTGTCGAATACCTTCTATCAGTACAAGAAAATGCAACGCAACCATCTCACGTTTTATGGTGTCTTAATACCCAAGCAGGTTTTATATACAAGATATACACTCTCGAACACTATGCTGAGTGTTTCTCAAAACAAATTCTGTCCATATGTTCAACCACTCTTCTGAATATATATTCCATTTCGTTATAAAGTGTGTCAGTTACTGGCTGTAACTCAGTGTTACATACCTGTGCTTTTCAGTTTAGGGACAACATTGGCTATCTTCTACATGTCTGAAAATTGTTCACTATTTTTTAAAATGTAGATATTAACACAGCTAGCAGTCACACAGTGCTTTTTCCTCCCATTTTCAGAAGCACTGGTGCAACTTTCACTAGGATCAACGTCACTGCTATATCTAGGTCTCTAAATATTGTGTATTGTGCGTGGAACCTACTGTGTGCTTTATCTCTCTGATTCAATGCTACTTTGATTCTACCATGAAAGATTTCCTAACAGAATCATCCTCGAGCAAGATTAGAGACGAAACATAGTTATTTTCCTTTCTAGGAGACAATCGTATTGTGTTGCTGTAAACAGCTTAAGGAATAATGGAGTTCGAGAACACGGTCCTAAAATTACCAAACCAATGTTCATAGCTACTAAGCCCTCAAGGCTACAATACCTCTATTAAAAAAATTATGTGTTTATAAGACTTTTTGGATCACAACTGCATCGACTGACACAGGTTTTAAAAAACTCTTGCTGTAAAACGTATTACCAGACATACTTACAAAGGGTCCGTAATAATTTTGGTGAGGGTACTGACGATCATGTCCTCAGTTAGTTCTTCCCACACCAGATACTCTCCCAGTCCAGAGTCCTTTATAAAAATGCTGTTCTTGGGCTGGTCTGCAGCGACAGGTATGGCAAGAAGGGGCGTGGCATGGTAGATGGACTCTTGCATGCTGAGAAGACCACAGTGAGTGATGAACACTCTCACGTTGTCATGAGCTGTGAACGCAGAATTAGTTGATGTTACGTTCAGAAGACAGTGTTTTCATTCTTCCAAAGAAAGGCTTATTCTGTCCTATATTAATCTTGTTTTTTTAAAGCTATATAAATAAATAGGTAGTGAAAGATTAGATATCAGATTAGGAGTAGGAAGTGTGCAAGAAGGGAATGTATCTAAATATTTAGGAGTGGACTAGGCGACGGACGGGTCTATGAGAGCTGAGGTGAGCCATTGTGGGTGGGTTTCTAGATATATTTTTGCTTTGACAATAGTATAAAAAAAATAATTGGAACGAAACGTAATATAGAAACTTCACTTAACGTAACTTAATCTAAAGTATATTTTAAAACAAATTCTACAAGCTATATCATAAATCAGATTAAATTTGCTGAATATTACATAAAATCAAAGATATATTCTTTTGTTAAGATGAGCTAAATTCTCGATGCCTCTAGACCACTACACAATCAAGCCCTGACGACGGGGACTTTCGTAAAGGCATTTCAAGGATTAATTTAATTTTCCCCGTGTTTGGATGCCAGTCTCACAAGCAGTACACAAATTAATGCATTCACAGAAACAAGTGGTTTTTAAAGGAAAGAGTATAATGTGACTGTCCGGGATTTGCACCCAAGTAGTCTAGGAAGCCTCCTGAGAATTTAGTTAAACTTTCAGCGTCCTAGACCACTACTCCACCATGACACAAGAAGACGTTAGGTGTCCAGAGAGAACTCTAGATATGTTTCCACCTAACGCCAGGCACATTCGGGAAGTGGTAAGCTCAGAGTAGTAAGCTCCCAGGAAGCTGCGTACACCATCTGGGTTCAAATCCCGGACAATCACAGTAGGTTCTTTCCTTTAAAAAACACTTGGTTCCGTGGATCCAATGATTTGTACTGCTCGTGAGACTAGTATCTACACAGGAGGAGAATGAAATTAGTCCCTAAACTTACCAGTCTATGTGTCCAGTGTATGGTGAAATGATGTATAGTGTACTCAATGGACACCTACAGTCTTCTTGTGGCAGGGTTGTATAGTGGTGTAAGGCATCGGGAGTTTTGCTACTTTCCCAGGACGCTGCCTGGACAACTCGGGTTCAAATCCTGGCCAACTGCAGTATGTTGCTCTAAAAACTTCTTGTTTCCGTGGATGCACTAATTGGTAATCAAACTCTGTATAATAATAACGTTATTCTTATTTATTTTTCTTTCAGTATTACTGCATTCAATTTTATCAGCCTATGTTTTTTTAATTAACCCTCAATACAAGAGAAAAATCATAGTTAAAAAAAATCAAGGTAAACGATTTTTTTTCTTAAAACTAGCTAATGTAAAACGATATAATTATTTTCAGTTACAAAATATTTCCTGTCTCTAAATTGTGTGTATAAAAGAATCATTGCAACTATGCCAATCATAAAATTATATGCAGAATATTAGCTAAAATATAATTAAAGTAATTTTGATGAACTAAAGTAATTTTTAAACAAATCTGCATGTCTTAGGATTTTTTTTTTTTTTTGAGAGAAAGGAGGTATTATGAAAGAAATATGTATTTGGGTGTTAGTCATCTTACACCTACTACCACTGTTTACATAGTAGTAAGCTGATACCTGGGTGTTAGTCATTTTAAACCAAGGGCTCTCTCATCACCAAGCAGTAAATAGGTACCTGGGTATTAGTCATTTTAAACCAAGGGCTCTCTCTTCACCAAGCAGTAAATAGGTACCTGGGTGTTTGTCATCTTACACCTGCTGGCCCTATTCACCAATTAGTTACTTGGTTGTTAGTCACCTTACACGTGCTGCCACTGTTAACCAAGCAGTATCAGAAATATTTCTGATACATGGGATCAATTTTATCATCCTTCTCTGTACGTTTTCAGGCGAATATATGTCCATTCTCTATATATAAATAATTTAACAAACAAACAATATAAAGAAAATATATTTTTAAAGTTGAGTATTGGGGAAATTAAACTGGATTTCTGTAGCACAGCAATCAAAGTTGGATTACAGAATGTGACCAGTAGTCGATCAGGAACCATGACCACATTAATGGTTGATTTTGTGTATATCCTTTGTATGCAACACGAAAGAATGCCTTTTTCTTGCGTATATTCTTTGTATGCAACACGAAAGAATGCCTTTTTCTTGGGTATATTCTTTGTATGCAACACGAAAGAATGCCTTTTTCTTGCGTATATTCTTTGTATGCAACACGAAAGAATGCCTTTTTCTTGCGTATATTCTTTGTATGCAACACGAAAGAATGCCTTTTTCTTGCGTATATTCTTTGTATGCAACACGAAAGAATGCCTTTTCTTGCGTATATTCTTTGTATGCAACACGAAAGAATGTCTTTTTCTTGCGTATATCCTTTGTATGCAACACGAAAGAATGCCTTTTTCTTGCGTATATTCTTTGTATGCAACACGAAACAAAGCCTTTTTCTTGCGTATATCCTTTGTATGCAACACGAAAGAATGCCTTTTCTTGCGTATATTCTTTGTATGCAACACGAAAGAATGTCTTTTTCTTGCGTATATTCTTTGTATGCAACACGAAAGAATGTCTTTTTCTTGCGTATATTCTTTGTATGCAACACGAAAGAATGCCTTTTTCTTGGGTATATTCTTTGTATGCAACACGAAAGAATGCCTTTTTCTTGCGTATATTCTTTGTATGCAACACGAAAGAATGCCTTTTTCTTGCGTATATTCTTTGTATGCAACACGAAAGAATGCCTTTTCTTGCGTATATTCTTTGTATGCAACACGAAAGAATGCCTTTTTCTTGCGTATATCCTTTGTATGCAACACGAAAGAATGCCTTTTCTATAGTTAATGGAGATACTTTGGAGCAGGACGATGTCAAATTCAAATTCAAACTTTTATTTTATTGCATAGTTTACATTGTGTGACTGACATGTTATAAGGAGTCTATCTCCATGCATAGTTTACAATGTGTAATTATAATACTGATTTGCTAAGTGCAAAGAAAACCACTATCATGCCGAGGCATATCTCTTCTGCAGTTGAAAGAAGTTCAAAGAAGAAAGTTGGCGTTGTTAATGGAGTGTGTAGCACTAATATTACCGCTTTATTTTCTCTTGATGATAAATGAGACATTTTTGCAAAAATTGGGAATCTTTATTCTGGAAACGTTTCGCCAAGCAGTGGTTTTTTCAGTCCAATGCAGAGAAACGGTGGAAGATGTGGAGGAGTTTGAGGTAATTATTCCCTCAGCCTGGACTCGATGTGTTCAGTCCATTAATGTTGGTAAAAGTGGAGTAAATTAGCGGAGATGGAACTTATATACTGCAGGCAGATGAGGTGGAGCAGTGGTAGGTGGAGTCACCAGTGGAAAATCCCAGTACTGGAAATAGGTCAGTCTTATAGGTTAGACAAGCTTTACAGAAATCCCTGAACCAAGATCCCAAGATGTAGCTATCTGACAGAGTTTGAGTATATTATTTAGAACACCAAAAATACCTGGAGAGGGTTTCTGGGATCAACGCCCCCGCGGCCCGGTCTGTGACCAGGCATCCTAGTGGATCAGGGTCTGATCAGCCAGGCTGTTACTGCTGGCCACACACAGACCAACGTACGACCCACAGCTTGGCTGATCATGTATTGTCTTTAGGTGCCTGTCCAGTGCCTTCTTGAAGACAGCCAGGTGTTTATTGGTAATCCCCCTTATGTATGCTTGGAGGCAGTTGAACAGTCTTGGGCACCTGACACTTATTGTGTTGTATCTTAGTGTACTCGTGGCGCCCCTGTTTTTCAATGGGGGAATGTTGCTTCACCTGCCCAGTCCTTTGTTTTCATAGGGGATGATTTTCATGTGCAAATTTGGGACTAGTCCCTCTAGGATTTTCCGAGTATATATTATCATGTATCTTTCTCTCCTGCATTCCAGGGAATACAAATCAAGGTCTTCAACCGTTCCCAGTAATTTAAGTACTTTATCGTATTTATGAGTGCCGTGGAAGTTCCTTGTACATTCTCCAGGTCAGCAATTTCGTCTGCTTTGAAAGTGGCAATTACTGTACAGCAATATTCCTGCCTTAGCAGATATGATAGAAACATTGTTGTTATCTTTTAAATTGAGATCCCCTGACATTCTCACCCCCAGGTCCTTCACATTAATTTTTCTCTCTATTGTGTGGTTGGAATTTGTTTTATACTCCTACACGATTTTAATTTCTTTGAGTTTTCCATATCGGAGAAACTGAAATTTCTCTTCATTGAACCTCATATTATTTTCCACTTCCCATTTAAAGATTTGGTTGATGTTCGCTTGGAACCTTTCAGAGCCTTCGATGTATGATACCGTCATGAAAATTCGGGTGTCATCTGCAAAGGAAGACACGGTGCTGTGGCTTACATCTCTGTCTATTTCAGATATGTGGACAAGCAACAGGATGGTGGCAAGTACAGTGCCTTGTGGAACCGAGATTTTCACTGTAGCCACCTATGACTTTAATTTGTTTACTATAACTCTTTGTGTTCTGTTTGTTAGAAAGTTAGAGATCTAATTACCAACTTTTCCTGTTATTCCTTCTTCAGGCATTTTGTGAACTATTACACCATGGACACACTTGTCGAGGGCTATCGCAAAGTCTGTGTATACTACATCTCCATTTTGTTTGTCCTCCAGTACATCTAAGACCTTGTCATAGTGGTCCAGTAGTTAGGATAGCCAGGTTAAGATGTTTGTTCAGCACTGGTGACTCCGTCTACTACTGCTCCACTCCACCTTATCTGTCTGCAGTATAAAAGTTGCATTTCCGTGAATATCTACACTTTCATCAAGACTGACGGACTGAACGCATCGACTCCAGACTTAGGGAATGATTACATCAAATTCCTTCACATCTTCCTCTGTTTCTCTGCATTGGACTAAAGAAGCCACTGATTAGCGAAACATTTCCAAAATAAAGATTCCAAAGTTTTGCACCTTAAGTGTCTTATTTATCATCTTGTCGGTTTTCTGAACCACTTATACATTTCCATATATTTCACGTACACTATATGACCCCGAGTTACAGCAAAAGGATTGTGAATGACATCAATATTTTATGGGTTAAGCATTACGGTAGTTGCAAATTTCGTTGGAATCTGTGCAAAAACTGCAGAATGCTTCGTCTGGTCGGCTTTAATTAAGCGTCTACTGCTGATGAGTTTTCCTCGGGGAAGTTTTGCCTTGATATTATATTGAGAAACTTTTGATATGCCAATTGTATTAATCACACTGGTTTCATCACTCATGAAATCATAATAACAAGACTGAAAACAACACAAGGAACGGGTGGGGGGTTGAAACCATGGAGTTTTACGGCTCATTCGCGATGGGTTCAAACCACACACGTTCCGTGTTTTTTTTTTTTTAAACTGGTTTCATAAAAAAAAAAAAAATAGAAAGTGTGTCTTCTGACCAGAAATATGTCAGTGTTTGAATTCGGTAGTATATTTATTCTTTGTTAAGTCATCTTTGTACCCTAAATTACAATGATAAAATGGTATATGCACCCAGTATGAATGAAATGTACTTAGTTAATTTCTTTCAAGTATTCTTATCTCTTCACCAATTCAAATCTTAAATGCTGGTCAGTCTTTATATACACTTATGGATTAACTTGGACCCGAGTAAGTCTCAAATTTCCATTTTTCATAGAAAAACTGGGAAAATTTATAACTTAATTTCATGCAGTAAATTGGGAGCGCCTCATTTAATAGGATTCATTCTTCAACGCTGATAATTTGATAATGCAAATTATAAGCGCCTTCAGACTGAGATAACATGAGCATGTCTCGTTACTCCACCTTCAAAGTTAGTGGTGTTTTTTTTTTTTTTAAGAAATTGGGTATTAGTGTCCATGGTGATAACATGAATACCTCTCCTTATTCATTTCCTGTGAAATAATGTATAGGGAATTGGAGTTATTCAATACGGGGATCATATAACTATCGATGCATGTCTAGTTATACCATATGCAATACTGTCTAGCAAATAATATGCCGACGCCATCACAAAGGTTACTGTAGTAGCTAAAACTCACCTAGAATATCTTGCTGGGGAAGCCACTTACTGATCATTACATTGTCAGGAACATTTTCTAAATCTTCTTCATACTTCCATATAACTCTCTGAGGCAGCCTGCGAAAAGCCCCGATGAAGATGTCACGGTACTGGACTGGCATTGAAGAGCTGCGCGTGACAGATCCCAGACTGAAGTAGATGACTCCGGAAGATCCAGCCCCCGTGATCCAAGTCTCCAGTTCCTATAAGAAACCGCTTGCTGCATTTTTCCTAGTATGAATTACTTACAGAAAATGCATCTGAATTATATATCAGAAGAACAGTATAACAGACGTGAGCTACGAGAAGCAGGGCAAGTGATACGAGTCAGCAGTCAGTAGAGTATGACTGACATGTGTCAATGAACCAGAACAGTAGTGAAAAAAAACAGATTTTAATCTGGCAGTTAAGAAGACTCACCTGAGACAGAGGGTTACCCGGGCGGCAGTGCATGGCGCCCACCTCCACCTGTGAGGGCAGGAGAGGCAGTGTCATGCCTATAGAAAAGTGGGTGTTGAGCAGTGTTAGACTCATGTTCCTCTCAAGTTCCAACAAAGGTGGTAGCTCTGGGAACTGAGCTGAGATCTGAAGATTATTACCAGAATGTTACAGTACGTAGGTCAGGCATTCCCAAAAATAACTTATGTTACACAAAGTTATTCCATACCTGTAATACACTGTGCAATAAAACTGACACAAATTACTTTTCAAAAGCATAGAATATTTTTCTATAAAACACACAATCAAAGTTGATCAGTAACTGTATGCTCCTCACCTGTTTCTGAATCAAGGGCACGATGGCCCACATGTCCCAAATAAACACCCTTCCAATGTGAACCAAGGTGTTGAGAAAGCGATGCCAGATGCTCATGGGTTTGGGGAAGTCGATAAACACAGGAACGTAGGCGGGGTTGAGCACGTTACCCAAGACGGCGCTCTGGCGTGGATCCATTCCTGGAGTAGCCAAGGTGATGAAGGTGCACTCATGAAGGAAGGGATATGCAATCTGCAGAGATTGAGATCTGGGGTCACGGTAGATTCAAGGTGCGATACGAAGGTTTACATTTCTGTACAGTAATAAACCACCTCTACACATACACACATGAGCACACAATTAAATTTAACTGGGTTGTTTGACTAAGTGGATGACGAAAGACTATGTAAAATGTGAGAATTAAGAGAATAAAAACGAATATAGAAATTTAAAATTTTGTTTGGCTAGAAACGTTATGCCCAACTCTAAACTATGGTCAAAACCAAAAGAAACTTTTTCCTCAAGCCATGCCTTAAGGTCAGGAGGTACTCCATTCAAAAAAAAAAATCTAAAAAAATAAGCTAATTGCACCCTCATAATCACCAACCACTTCCTTGAAACTGGACCATTTTGTAAGCGGTGATATCTTTATATATTCCACCAAGGATTGACCTTCCTGAAACTTTAACCTTCTAATCTTCTGCCTATAACTCTCTGGCAATATCTGATAGGCAAACAAAACTATATCGTTCATCTGTCGAAAATTCATGGTCATCTAGAGAACTACCTGCTTGTAACCCTCTCCACACTGGGTTCGTACGAGTGTTGCCCACTCACGGTGTGGCTACAGCTGCAATTTTGCTGTTTTCTTAGATAATGTACAAAAATAATCAGGATCTTTCTCCAAAAATTTAAGAAAAAACTTTATGGCTTAATCCAAATAAAATATGTCTACCCGGTTACCTGTTTCCTGTTGAGAAGCAAAATGTTTCTCTTTAGCCCTAAGGATTTCTATTTTATTCTTCCTGGATCTTCGTACTTTCACTCCTTCTCAAATCTTTTTCTTCCTTAATTAGGGCTAATTTCAACCTTAAAATTTCTGCCTCAGTCTCATTATTAACAGTGGGGTGTGATCTAGGGTTTCCTCCAAAACCTGTCACAACTAAAACCACTACTTATTACAGACATTTTGAAAATCAATAGCACCAAAACACTTTCAGAAATTATGAAAAATGCTAAGCCACAAAGCAAACACATACTTAAAAATTATTATTATAATCATGGAGAATTATTATTATTTAATAACTCCTTAAATCATTAAATTTGTACTCAATAACGCATGCAGAAAAATAAGAACATAAGAAAGAAGGAACACTGCAACAGGCCTACTGACCCATGCAGAGCAGGTCCATGTCTCCCCCCCACGGATTAGTCCAATGACCCACCCCCCCGGATAAGCCCAATGACCCACCCTGTCTGGTCACCTGGTGAGGGAAAAGTTCAATAGATTGGAGTAGCGATATAGTAACAATAGTTTCATTGCCGGCTACTTGTTAAGGTAGGGTAAGCCAAGCTCCCGCTATTCCCGCCTTTTTTTCCCCCCACCCCGAAAGTGATAGTTTGATTGCCGGCTGCTTGTTAAGGTAGGGTCAGTCTAGCTCCCACAATCCCTTCCCCTTCTTCCCCCTCCCCCCCCCCCCCCGAAAAGTGAAGAGTGGGGCTCCGGTCCAAACAGTAATCACTAGACTCAAAACTCCCAGCACTACTGTAAGTACATGCCTGCCTTGTATTCTAGTGGATTTATTGGTTAAAAGCTTCACTTTTGACCAATAATAAACTTTTGTCCTTTCAGATTTGCTCTAAGTTGACTGTTGTAATAATCACCACGTCTTTCAGGTATTGTACTTATCATGGAGAGTGATTTCTTAAGCAGTGGGTAACCTGACTATCTTTCCAGCTTGGATGACAGAGAGGGTCACCTGCCAATCAATGAGTAGAATTGAAGGAGACGGACTAACGTTCTAAGATGTCCCAAATTTTGATCCACTTACCTGTTTGTGTATGCAAGTAGCAGGATATAACCCCTCATCATTGCAGTGGAGAAAACCTGCTTTCCTGTCATCTGGAAGGATTATTGAAAGCTAGAAAATCTGTGAAGAACGAGCCACTGGGTTGTCATCAACACCTGCGACCCCCCCCCCCCATCATCAGCAACGGCTACGATTTCAACAACACGCAGTGTCACCAACACCAGACACCCACGTTTTATATACATTTATATTAGCGTTGAATTCAGTTATCATTTATATTTTTCATTTTTCATTTTCTTTAATGTAGATCAATATTTCATATTTAAGTGTTTTATATTTTATATTTTCTAAATAATAAAGTGTTTATGTTTGTCAGTTTTTGTTCTTTTTCTATTCATTAATTTTCCTGAGGAGGAGCCAGCCTTGGTAATACTGTCTGAAGTTGTTACAGGGCTGAGTAAGCCTTCACAAGTGGCGACCTTGCCAGGATCAACTCTACTGAATCAAGATTCAGTTCCATCTCGAATCTACCATTGGAACTTCAACGTCGCATACCACAGACGGTTACCACCAACCATGAGCAATCATTCTCTATGGTAGGACTACAGTACAGGTATTTAAAAGATTTGGTGATTGTTATAGTCTCAATTTATTGTAAGTCAAGTCAGGCAGGATATAATATTTAATTCTGCCACCTTTTTGTTCGAGCTTGAAACGCTTTGGAGGATTAGACTCTAGGGACCCGAGATTTTCCAGTGACAATTTGTTTCATTGAGCTCTTTATTATATCAAGGGAACTGTCGTAGGACACTCTTGATTTGTTGGTGAGAAGATTGGATGGTCAAGGGACCCTATTTTACTTACTGTTTGCTCGGAGCTGGCATAGAACCCTTCGTTTTCATTAATACATATTGTTTAACTGAAGCAGGGATCTAGCCCTCTGGTTTATTTACAGTTTGAGTGGAGCAGGAATTGAACCCTCTGTTTTCTTTAATACCCGTTTCATTTTCCTTTGGTAGTTTAAGTTATTCTTGCAAATATGGAGGAATACCAGTTTCGGATGAATGCTGGAAGTAAGTTAGGAATAACAGGGAAAAATTTAGAATCTTTCATTAGTGCTAAAATCCAGGAAAGAATTGAAAAGGAGAGAGAGAGAATCGAAAGAGAAGAGGAAAAGGAAAGATTGAGAATAGAAAGAGAAGACAAAAAAGAGCGTGATAGACTTGATCGTGAGGAAAGAGCTAGAGAACGTGAGGAAAGAGCTAAAGTACATGAGGAACAAGTTAAATTAAGGGAACTTGAGGAAAGAGCAAAGGATAGAGAATATGAGTTAAGGGAGAGAGAAAAGAATCGCGAGCTCGAACAAGCTCGCCTTGAATTAGAGAATAAAAAGTTAACTTTCTCACAACAGCAATTAGATGAAGGAGTAATGGAACAACGTGCAGCTAGTGCACATATTTCAACACCTCATTTACCTCCCTTCACAGAGGGTGAAGACATAACTTCATACATTATCAGGTTTGAAAATACCACTACCCTATGTGAATGGCCTGCTGACACCTGGGCAACCAGGTTAGGAATGTTATTTTCTGGAACAGCCTTGAATATCTATACAACTTTGTCGCAGAATATCATATGTAATTATAACCTACTGAAGAAGGCAATCCTTAAAGCATATAAAAAAACCACTAATTCTTACAGGAAAGATTTCAGGTATGCCACCTTATAGCCTGGCCAGAACTTTCAACAGTTACAGGTAACACTCTTTCGTTTGTTCGACTTTTGGATAGAGAGTTCAGGAATTGATCACAGTTATGAATCTGTTAGAGACTTCATGGTTGCTGACCAGTTCCTAACAGCTCTTCCTCACCAGATACGAACATTCATTAGAGAACGTAACCTGATTAAAGCTGAGGAAGTTGCTGAGGCTGCTGACCTGTAGGCTGAGGCTCAAAATTCCTATAAAGACCAAAAGGGATCAAACCAAAGGGGGAAAGGGGTTTTTAAACAGCCCTTAAAAAAAATCAAAGCCCTAGGGGGAAAGAAAAGGTTTTCTTTTTTTTCCCTGTTTGTCATTTGTGTGGTTTTTAAAAAGGGACAAAAACGTCCAGATTGTCCTTCTAAAAGGCCCCAAAAATCGGGAAGATTTTTTTAAAACTTAATAAACCAAGCACCCTTCTGTTCGGAAAACCATTTTAATGGACTTAATGTATCTACCATTTTACAAAGGAAACGGGATCAAAATGTATTTCTTTTTCGATAAGTTTTCCCCAAAAATTTTTAAAGAAAACCACCCCCTTTTCTATATTTTCAGACTACTTGGGCCTTTCGCACTTTTCCCTACCACCGTTGTTATTTGGCCCTCAAGAAACGTAATGAACGTTTGAAAAAAACCCCATCCCCGGGGGCCCGGGGAAATTAAACCCGGGGTCTTAGAGTTTTCCAAATCCGCCCGTCACTTTAACCACAAACCAGCTTAGCCCAAAAAGAGATTCATCCAACTAGGTATTTTTACACCAAAGGAAGGTTAGGAAACAGGGCCCCACTGTGCCCAACAAATGCAAGATTTCCCAGCAAATCCCCAAGCTAGCGGGCCGTGAGGGAAACCCCCTACCCTCAAGCCCCCTTCACGGGCCGTCAACCTTTTGGGATAAAACTTTTTTGGGCTAGCGGGGCCTTGGTTTAACCCAACTGGGGGGGATTTTTTTTTGGGGGGAAATTTTCTTTTTGAAAGGGGCCTTTGCAGCCTTCCCGGGGGGGTATGACCCGTTTTTCATTATTTTCCCCTAAAGGTTTTCACGGGTTGGTCGGGAAGCCGTACTAGCCCCCATCATTCTTGCCCTACAAAAGGGGGTAATGTAAAAGGTGCCATTTTTCCTTCTAAGGTTGACTTTTCATCACCAAAGATGGACATAAGTGTTTCAGATCCTCTTCCTGTAGAATCAGAGAAGCCCCTCGAAAGTTGAGATGAACAATGCTCGTGAGATTCATGGGGGATTAAAAACCAGTGATGCTACTCTCGAAAGCGAGGTAGTAGGATCACCGGTTCACTTGTTAGATGAAAATGAAGATATCACCACCAATATCATAAATGTCTTGACTAGGGCTCAGACCAAAGCCCAGGTTTCTCCTACTATCCATCCTTTGGTTTTCCCTGACTTTAAGCCTTTAGATATATCGAAGGACTCCTTTGTCAATTTCCAACGTAATTGCCCTTCTCTT